TTATTTTATAAACAGAGTGATATTGTTTGATGTTTCAGGTTTCTTTTTTTAACTTTTGTTTATACAATGACATTTTTTTCTCAGCAAACTGTCGGAGACTGATACACCAGTGATAAACAATTACTTTGTAACAATTACTTTTACCGATATGTAAAAATCATTGTTTCCTCAATTACATATTACAAGACACAAAAATTGTTTTTCTAAGTGATATACAAATTTTCTTTTAGTTTGAATGCTGTTTGGCCATCTTGAATGTTTATTTTTTTTTTTACAAAAATTAAATTTTAAAAATAATTTCCTTGACCCGAAGAACATAATATTAAACGCAAAAAATCTACTTCAAATTGATAAAGGAGCTGAGTCTGTTGTTTATTGAACATTTTAGTTTAAACGCTGTTTTGGCGGCCATCTTGGATTTTGACAACATTTTGTTTTTTTATAAAACTAAAAATGTCGAAAATGATTTCCTTGACTTCACAAACGTAATAACAGACACGAGAATTTTGTTTCTAAGTGATCTTTTTTTTTTTTTGCCCTAAGAAGACCTAACGGTCTTGTCACAGAGCACCGCGGAAGTGCATTTAACCAGGAAGTTCACTTATAAAGCAAGCGCTCTAACCACTGCGCCACGGCCGCAACTACAAGCTCCGAGCTCAGACATTGCAAATTTAATTTTAGAAGCCATCTCGGACGCATCTCATTTAAAATCTCAGACATTGCAAATTTCATTTTAGACGCCATCTTGGACGCCATTTTGGATTTCAGATAAAGCTTTATTTCAATTTAGGCCGATTTTTTTTAAATGAATCAGGAGTGCATACAAAAGTAAACAAAACAAAAAAAGAAAAAGATCTTTAAATAAAGTATTATTCTGCAATCGGTGTGATTTTTTTGATCGCTATCGGATCAAAAATTGGTAGAAGAGGGTAGTTGCTTCGCCATTGAGGAATAGTAAAAAAAGAAATCCCGTAAAATATGGGATTGCTCAACCTTTTCAAAGTGTTAAAGAAACATGGTAAACAGCTTTGATTTAAATCACTCTTCAAAAAAAATTCAAAAACGCAAGACTTTGTGGAACTAATAGCTGAACATATAATCAAAATGGCTTCACAAGAAGAGTCTAACTAAAAGAATTTTTAAAAAACCAAGAAAAAGATATGGTAGTTGAAAACTCTCTTATTTCGAGAACCCAATTACATTCAAAACACGTTATGAACAGTATATCTCTCCTAACGAACGGTGCTGGTAACTCTTTGTTATAGAAATAGAAAAGTTGTGGTCAACTCATTGCTTGATGATAGAAGTACGAAGTCGTATTTGAATACTGATGTAGGAGCTATGTTGCCACTGCAAGGTAAAACAGAAAAAGTAACCGTCAATATGATAAATCGAAAAATTAATTCGTTGAAAACATTGCCAGTGGAATTCCAGTTGGAGTTATTCAATGAAAAAAAACGACAACTAAAATGCAAGCTTTTACAGAGAATAAAGTAACTGAAACTTTAAACGCAGTTAATCGGACAAAATTTTCCAAAAGGTGGAAACATCTAAAATATATAGAAATGCCTTGGATAAAAAATAGGCAGTTTAATGATAATTATACAATGGCTTTAAATAGACTAAGAAAAAAAGTCTAATGAAAAAAAAAGTACCAAACATTTAAGAAAAACCAAAATTTGATATTCTTATTGGTGTGTATGATGCTAAATTACAATGTGCAGTTAAGTTAGTTAAAGGGGGATCTAATAAACCAGTTGCCTGACTCAAACCTTTTGGATGGACATATACTGTTGGTTCCGAAGGATATCTTTAAACCAATGTTAAAAAATTGATACCAAGAAAAATTAAAATGAAGAAGCTAACAATTCAATTAAAAAGTTAGAGGAAGTTGAAGGCAATGAAGCAATGAGCAGCCGTTGCGCAGTGGTTAGCGCGCTTGCCTTAGAATCTAGAGATCCATTTTTCGACGCCACCTCTGGGCAAGTTTTAAAAAATTGGTAAGGAAGGAGGCGTGAACTTCTATTCAAATGCTCTTCCGCCGTACTTTGTGATAAGACTGTAAGATCTTCTTGGAGCATCTAATAGTAGGAAAAAAAGAAAAAAAGAAAATGTAGTTTAAAAGTATAATAACATCCCAGAAGATACTAAAGCATTTAGTATGATAACAAGTTTATCAAAACCACAAAACGGAAGATATGAATTAGTTGCCATAGATAAAAAACAGGCAGTTGGATGGTAATTATACAATCGCATTAACTAAGTAACACAAAAAAAACGTCTAATAAAAAACAAAAATTTTAGAAATGAGTATAACAATATCATTAGGCAGTATCAAGAATACGAATACTTAGAAAAAATTGATTCGAAGAACATAGGTGAAGGTTTGTACTTACCACACTTCTATTCTCTGTACCAATAAATCAACTACAATTATGGTTGATGGATCTATAAAATAAAATTAATAACGTTATTTATCAAGATCCTAAACTACATTAAGACTATAAAACAGTTTTGGTTTGATTTCAAAAATATCCTGTTGCACTTGCTTATGATATAGCATAAGTATTTAGGATCAACTCATCACCTTTCATGGACATTTTCATTTTAGGATCAACTCATCACATTTGTAGAACAAGAGCATGCAAGAAATTATGCACACAAGTTTCTTTTAGCTTCTGAAGCTGTTCTTAAAATAACTTACATGGATGATACAACAATTTCTGTAGTTGATGGAAAGAAATTCAACTATGCAATTTAGAATGGTGTGTTTTTACACATAAAATGTCTTTCAAACTCCGTTGAAGTTCTTAAATCAACACCTAAAAATTATCGATATATAATATTAACTGACTGGACCGTTAAAAAATGGGTCTTTGTATGTCTACTTCACACCGATCTTTTCTATTATTTTTCCATATATAAATATCCAAGCAGTCCGGACCCGTAAAACACAGGTCATTGTAAGTTTATTCGACACCAACTTTTTCTAAATTTTTTCCTTGGTAATTGTTATTCATGTGTGTACGCAAGCGGGCGTAGACTGAAAAATCGTCAGTTGTCAGTCAGTCGTTAGTCAGCTGCAGCAGCAACTACACACTAAAAAAAAAAGTATAATAAAGGTATATTATTCTACCCGAAGGTAGAAATTAATATTTTTAGGGTTTCTTAAGTTTAAGTGGTTAAAAACTGTAGAAAGTTATACCCTTGAGGAGTTTTCTACCTTTGCGCTAGATGTTACTAGAATGCGGCTCTCAAACTATAAAATTATTAATTTTAATGTGACGTTTTTACCTAAAATATGGAAAAGCTGAGAATAAATAAAAGTATTTTATAGTTTATAAAAAATATTTTATTGTTTTTTATTTAAATCAAAAAACTTATAGGTTAGCAACTTAGACGATTAAAAAAATAATAATTATATGTATTAATAAAAGATTTACAGCTGCATCTGGTTTTTATTGATACATGCGGCATCGGCTTATCAAGCAATTTAAGATTTCAAATTTAGGCATGGAATATTATTGTCAAGTCGAGTTTTGCAGAAAAGGGTTTTATAATGCATGAGGGTTAATCAATCACATGATGTTGCAGCATGGTCATGAAAAACATCTAAATTTGTCCTGTAGTTTAGATGGTTGTGTTTATTGCTATAACACTGTTAATACATAGAGATGTCATGTTTTAAAATTTCATCAGTCTCATCTAGTTTCCATAACTACCGATAAACTGAATTTATCTAAAGTTGTAGAAGAAAACGTTGAAAATATTGTGGAAACGGATACAGAGAATATAGCAGTTATTCAAAGTGTGGATGAAAATGCTAAAAAATTATTGACAGAATTTTCTGATTTTTCAGAATGTTTTAGAAATAATTTATGTATAACACAGTTGCAGTTGCGCGAAAAACACATGCTGCCTCTTTCAACAGCTTCTTCAATATGTAATAAAATTAAATGTTTGCTTGATTTGTTTCAGAACAGTCTTGTATCATTAACAAGAAAAAGGCTTAAAGCGCTAAATATTGAATCAGATGACGACTCTGTCTAGAATCAAGTGCTACCTTTTTCCTCAATTCATGACAGTGTCTCTCAACTGTTTGCAACTGATCATCTTAGAAAATTATATATGCTATAAATAACTTTGAGTTTGTTTACCCAGTAGAACTTGATGTGCAGACCAATGAACTTCATCAAGTAACTGAAAGTCTTGGTGGTTCTAACAATATAATAAACAATGAAGCATTACCTATTGTAGTAGAAAACACAGATAATAATATTTATGCAATAAAAAAAAGTCTTAAACAAAATAAAAAAGTTGGTTATTATATTCCAATTCTTCAAACTTTAAAAACCTATCTTCAAAAAGATGATATATGGGCTAGTTGTGAACAAGGCCGTTTAAAAGCAGCTAGTAGTGATGGTATTATGCGAGATTATTCTGATGGGACACATTTTAAATCCTTAAATGTTAATAGCAACAAACTTATTCGTTTACATTTGTATAATGATGAGTTAGAAATCTGTAATGCACTGTGAAGCAGAAGGGAATATATATATATATATATATATATATACATATATATATATATATATATATATATATATATATATATATATATATATATATATATATATATATATATATATATATATATATATATATATATATATATATATATATATATATACAAGTTATTTATATGTAATTTGAATAAGTAATTTCTTTCAAGGCAACTTGGTTAGACATCTTAAAAACAAGATTTAAGTCTGAAAGGTCTAAAATGCATAATGTTTCTTCAGTACAAGAACATAAAAAGTTTGGTACAACGCTAAAAAGAAAGGAATTTTATACTGAATGTGCAGTAACTCCAAAACAGAAACGGTCGGAGGTCGGTATCTTAGAAATCAGTTATTCAAATTCTGTATTATTTATAATATGGTTTCCAAAATACTAAAAAACAATATCGTTGCTTTAAATTGTATTAAATTTTGTTTAAGATGCAAACAAACGCTATTGAGGATTTGCTAAGCTGCATTGCACACGAAGAAACCATTTCAAATGAGTTAAAAAAAAGTCTTCCTGATATGTCAAAGGTAAGAGATCGAATGGCAAAAACTTTTGCGCATAGAAGGAGAATAATACTTAATTCTACCACAGCACAAATACTAGAAGAGTATCCAGCATTAAGGATTGCTACAGAGGTGTGTTTTGACTTAAATTTATAAATCGATGGAGTAATAATAATTCATAGTTGATAAATTTTAATAATTATAATTATGATTTGTAGTTATTAGAAGAGGTAAATCTCATAACTGGAAATGAAGTAACCAATAAAATAAACTAGCTCTTTACTGCTGAAAGATCTATAAAAGTACTGGAGATGGCCAAGTCGGGGAAAAGAAATGCTAAAAATATTGACCTGGTGACTAACATTGTGGCTGCCATAGGATCTGAGTCAAATATCAATATAGAAGGTTTATAATGTCTCTTTATTTAATATTTATTTTATGTTTATTTATTTAAAAAAGTGTATACATATTTTTAGCACAACAAATAAGACCATCGATGTTGTGCTTGCCCGCCATGTTTGGTGAAAAAATTGAAAGATGGGTCGTGATAAATAAGGTCTCATAAGTGTTTTGAAGCTAGCATTCTCGATGAGATTTTTTGATTCTTAAAGTGTTTTTTTTTTTTACTTTTGTTGATATAAATGTAATATTTATATTGACAGACAATTTTGATTTTTTTAGGAATCAACTCTAAGCACACCAACAATTAACATTACTTGCTCAAATCAAGCTAATATTCTGCATTTTAAAGATGTGCATATAGCGATCTACCTCGATGGTTTAGTTATTTGTAACGTTCTATCAATTGATGAAGCAATAAAAGTCTCGATAGCATCTTACTGGGTTTTTGAAATAGCCTTCGATCCGCGACTGCAGAAAAAATTGATATTTCTAGCCAATTATGTTTGTGGGCTTAGTGAGTACTGTGTCAGTCCACCGGTTCAGCGATTGTTGAAAAAATTGTTGTAAACTTCTATTTGTAATAAAAGTAAAAGAGCTTTTTTTAAATGTGTTGTTGCACTGCGTCGTTGCACATGTGTTGTTATCACTGCGTCGTTGCACATGTGTTGTTATCACTGCGTCGTTGCAAATTTTCAAATTTCATCAACAGGAAAAAAAAATTGCAAAAAGCAAAATATGTAAAAAACTAAGTCTGCCTTTTAGGGTGGAAAAAAATACCTCATATATAGGGGTATAATAAAATACCTTAATAATATTCTACCTTAAAGGGTAGGATATATGATATACCTTTGAAGGTAGGCGAAGTGGTAGATAAATATACCTTTTAAGGGTAAAATTGTCCTTAGTAATTTATACCCTAAGGTGTTTTTTACTACCTTTCATAAAGGTAGACTAAAATACCTTATTATGTAGGGTATATTTTTCTACCTTAAGGGGTAGGATATGTGATATACCTTTAAAGGTAGAAATTTCTACCTCTTTTTTTTTAGTGTGTAGTTCAGTATTAAAATATTATAGAATATAAATGATAAATATAATATAATCTCTATATAATATAATATAATATATATATAAAATATAATATAATCTATATAAAATATAATATAATCTATATAAAATATAATATAATCTAAATATATATATATATATATATATATATATATATATATATATATATATATATATATATATATATATATATATATATATATATATATATATATATATATATATATATATATATATAATCATTTAATTATTTATAAATAATTAAATGATAAATATAAATTTAGATTCGAGTGAGTTACCAGCAATAAAAGCTCTTGGAGTTGTTTGGAAAACAAAACCTAATTTATTTACCTTAAATTCTGTTGCTGCCGAAAAAAATACTCTAAACACAAAACCATTAATCAATATATTCCGATAAAAGATATTGCAATCGAGGTGATTTACAATTAGTTAAAATCTAATCTTAAGTAAATACCATGATATAATATTAATAATACAAATAATAATGATAATGAATTAACAATTATAAGAATAACAAGAAAATTATATAATAATAAACCAATATCAATTTTAAAACAAAAATTAAATATTATGCACAGAGAGGAAAGTTACAGTTATATACAGACAAAACGTAACAACCTAACACGTAACTAAAACAACTACTGCAAAAAACGTGACAATTTAATAAATAATATAGTCTTAATATCAGTAATCATAATAAAAACAATAAAAGTGCTATAAATATTTCTTTAAAAAATAACAATAAATTTACAACTTGCCAAAAAGTTTGTTAAAGTCTTAAGGCTCGAAATTAACGTTATTTTTATGGTCTTAACGTTTTATGGCGAATTAGAAATCAAAGCCGAAAACTAGAGGATTATCAGCAAATGAGTTAGCAAACAATACGGAGTGGGGGCATGGATTGAGTTTCCTAAATTCTTTAGAAACAAAATAGCTGCAAAATCAAGTTGACTTTAAACTAAAAGCTTTAGATGAAGTAAAGAAGATTGTTGTATTTATGAATTTTGCATTTTCTACTAAAGAAAACTAACTGCTTGATATAAATATATTCTTACGTTGGAAACAACTTGTTTGGATATACTGGATTTATAAGTAATTACTTATTAATTACGTAATCGTCAATATATAACTACGTAATTGTCGATGTGTAGGTGATTTGCTGATAGAAATCATGAAAGCAAAAATTAAACTATAGGTAAGACTCAATAGGAAGAGTTTAAAAAAGAATATAGCAACATAAAAAAAAGAAAAAACAATTTCAGCATCAAACAAAATTTGTTCTTTAAATCCGTAAATTGATGAAAAAGGCTTGTAACGCTCTTGTACTTGATTGGAAAATGCTAAATGTTACTTGCCATAAGTTATATGTTAAATACCCAATCATTTTGCCAAGATGTCACACAGTTACAAACTGATTGTTAACAACTACCATAACGAAGAAGTAGTTTGGGAACAAATTCAACTATTGGGAACAAATAAAACTATTGGCTTATACGAAGACGAAAAGAAATCTGCAATGTAGAATCAAAATGCAAAAAAAAAAATGGATTCTCTATCAGCTATTTATTTAAAGGAGTCTCTACGTGCATTTGTTAGAGTTGGTATTGATTTCGCAGGACTATATCTTACAATACGTAAAAGGAAGGTAAAAGTAGAAGGACTGGACCTGACAACAAAGATACTTATACTTGTTTACTTATTTGTTATCACGAGCAGTAAAATTCACAAGTTAACTCGAGACTCAATGCCTTTTACCAAATTTTGAACAGAAGAGGGTTATTATTTGAAATTTTGATGGACAATGGAACAAATTTTGCTGGCGGAAAATAAATGTTATAACATGATTTTCAAAAAAATCAAGTTATAACAATGATAAAAATGTAACAGTATCTCTTTAATTGTGAAAATCTTACAAATATAATTCAATGTTTTTAAATATAATTTTCAACATAATTGGTTTAAATTATTTCACAAATGAAGACATACTTTACATTGTAATCATTGTAAACAATAACTTTATATTTTTGAAAAGGTGACTTATGCCACTTTCAAAATAAAATGCTCATATATTGGGTTGCCAATATATGACGTTATATTTATTGAACAAAATTATTGTTCCAAATTTTGATATGTCAATTTCGTTTCCCATTTTTAAAACTAAATTAAAAAACTATATTCTTTCTACTGGCAATATATAAAAATATTTTTGAAATGTAAAATTATTTTCACTCTGGATAATTTGTAAAATTATTTTCAGCTTTTGTTTATTTTACATTGTTAATAGTTATTAAATCAATTGTATTTTCTTTTTATTATATATACATGTTTGATATATTTTATTTGGTTCTGGCGACAAGATCATTTAGATCTTCTTTCAGATATCAAATTTATATATTGTTATACTGTTATATTACGATTAATAATTGTAAACTAAAAAATTAAAAAATAAATAAATAATATCACAGTTACATAATACTAAGTTAGTAGACGAAGGCTACGAATAGAAAAAAGTAATAGAAATAGTAATAGAAAAAAGTAATAGAAAAAAGAAGACGAAGAAAAATTCGAAGAAAAAGAAGAAAAATTCTTATAGTAGTAGTATAAGACTAATACTCTAAAAAAAAAATGATCTAAAATAGTTAAATAAGTTTTGGGCTTGCCTGTTCAATTTTTGGGCTTGCCTGTTCAACTTAAATGTCTTAAATTGAGTTTTTCAAATTTAAGTCTTAAGTTTTTCATGTAAATGCATTAACATGAAAAAAATGCGATTTACACAGAAACGCGTTATCAATATGCTAACGTGTTATTATTTGTTGATTCTAAATGACATCAACAGAATGATTGTCAAATATCATCATTTGGAATGACTCAAAGAAATGATGCTGTAGAATTGAATATTGAAAAGTAAACATTTAAAGATATTTCATGTTTCGAAAAATGTAAAAATACTGCATTAAGATTACATATGAATGACGAACAATTGATACATTATTCTTGCTGCCATTAAATATTGAAGCATATCTACATATAAAATAATAAAGGCAATTATCAATCTCTAAAAACTTTTTTCTTTAAATTTTTCTAAGTGTTGATTTAAAAAAATACTGAGATAACCTTTTTATAAATACGTCTCAAAACTGGTCCTATATTGAAGCAGATGAGAAATTTTAGCAATGGTGAAAGCAGCTTACATAAGAGAAAGAAAAAAGATACCATGTTTTTCATGTCGATCATATTTTCTTTCTTTTATGTAAGCTGTTACATACATAAACAAGATAATGTCATGCTACCATGTAACATGACATAAATTTGTTGGTAGGAGTAGAAGGATCTTGTAAACTGATAAAACTGCACAAGTCTAGAATCATAAATGTTAAACATAGAAATGAAAAAATACTTATAATTGTTTCAGAAAGCTTAAAAATATGTTTTTCAAGATACAAGAGTAACCTGAGTCAATTATGTAAACCTGATTTAGTCATAAAGCGTCACAAATAATCTGACAATATTTGTCCTTAAAAGAAACAAATGTTTAAACAAAAAAAATTTAAAGAGTTAGGATTTAAAAGGTTAAACAAACTGTTTCAAAATAATGTAAGCAGATCTCTTTATTACTTATCATATAAACAAAGGAGTTGGTGTTTTTATCATAAGAGCTAGGCGTATTTGGAAAAGCAAGTTGACGTAGGAAAAGATTGCAAAACAACTTTTTTTTACATAATGGACGGTTGAATCTTGACGTGTCATAGATGGGTGTGCCAGCGCAATTTTTGTAAAACAATTGTGCTCGTTTTTAAATTGTACAAGCCGATATGATTTTTACAAGCTTGTAAGAGTAAATTTTATAAAAAGAAGAATCATTACAAAAAAACATAAAACAGGGAAAAAATACTGCAAAAAATAAATCAAATGTTTCAGTTTTGTTCTTTGCAAATCAAAACAAAATCTTTTAAGTTAAGATTTTTTTGTACAGTTAACATAAACAAATTGAATCTTATTTAGTCATTTATACTCTCAATTTTAAAACAATGATTCAGGCAAAAATATTTTTTTTAACATAAGATTAGCTTAAAAATTAAAACTTTTTTTTATACAAATTTATGAAAATTTCTAATTTTAAAACACTTTTTTGATAGGATCACAACACTTTTTTAAAATGTATTTTTCCGGATGTTTTATATAACGAAGGGTAAAGTTACAATTTTTTTTTATTAAATCAAAAAATTTTCATTCAGTTTGTTGATTATTAAAATTTTTTAAAGTTTCAATGAATAACGGAAAGAATTTTGGTATTCTTATAACATCTAGTTAGTTTAATGTCTTATCTGGTCGCATCAAATTATCAGAGAATTTGTTGAAGTTTGCATAAGTGGCCTTTTTTTTTCTTTCTATTTTTGAATATAATGTTGAGCATAGATCATTTTGCATTTTAGAAATTTAATTTTTTTTTATCTTACTTCGGTTAAACTATGAAGTTCTGTTTGAAACGTTTGTTGAAATCTATGAAAAGCGAACCATGCTGGGAGCCGTATTACTTTTTGATTTTATAATAGATTATTTATTAATTCAAACTTAATGTAGAATAAACAATAATAGTCTACTACTACTACCACTACTATTAATGTTAAGTTCTTGAAATGTTTCATTTTATATAAAAAATATTTTTTTTTTATATAAAATGAAACATTTCAAGAACATTTCAACAGTTTTTGAAGTTTAAAATATTCTATTCTTTTTAACGACTTACAATGTTTAATTTTTTCCTAAATTAAACTTTTTAAAAATACTACCGCATTTTTAGAAATTTTTTTGTTAATTTTTTTAATTTTTGTTTTTAAAAATTCATTTGAATTATCCTTAATTTTTATGAGATTAAAGCGTGGTCGACTTTGCAAACTATCTCTCTTATCGTGTCGAAACGCACGTATGGGCTTGTAGGTACCATCTAGCAATTATTATTTGAAGAAAAACACAAATAAAAACTGTTTACTTTTATCATTTTAAAATAATAACGAAATAAACTTTTTATCTGTAATAAAGGCTTCATATCTTTTTGTCATTATCATAGTATAATTACGGTGTGCCCAATGTTATTTGGAATCGTCGTCTGTCAGCCTTCTTTTTCAAGAATTTTGTTTAAAAAATATTTCTATAGATAGTGTTTTCGATATGTTAAAGTTTAAAAAAACTAACTTATACGTCGTGGTTACTATTGAAACTCGTAAACCATTTACTGTAAATACTTTTTACATTATGTTAATATATATTTTTTTAAAGACTAAATAAACTGACGCCATTTATAGACATAAATAAATTTAACATGTTATTTACATTAGTTTTAAAAGTAAAATGCTGTATTTGTTTTTACAATTAAGTATTTCAAATAAATATAATATTTGAAACTGGTAAAGTGATTTTTTCAAAAATTAATATAAAAAATAATATTTTTAAATATTTTTATAAAATAATAAAAAAAGCAATTAAAAACAAGGTCGTATTTACAATTTTTTAATTTAGTTACAAATAAAATATTATTATAGTTATTATAAATATTGTTGTTATTAGCATCCTTTCTTTTTTATACATGTTTTTAGCGTTCTGATACATTTAAGCACTTCTTGCGGAGTTTCGACTTCTATCGTACATTTACGTGCGTTAAGAAAACACTAAAATAAACAAGTGAAAATATAAACACTACTGTAGGACAGCAAAATAGATAGTGATAATTATAAACTTTCCGTTAGTGTAGATCTTGTTTTTTCTTTGCTTAAATGTTTATAAGCTATATCAATGTGACCTCATCCTCCTTTATAAAAAAACTGTATCCGCCCCACTAATGTAACTGCATTTTTAAACGTTATGTTTAACGAACAAACGTTCGTTCAACAAACAAATAAAAAAAACAATAACAAACAAGTTCTCAATGTAATTGTTTTAAATAAGAATTATCTGATCACGTGAACACTTGAAGTACAAGTAAAAAAGTGACATTTTAAAGTTGTGTTAGATAACACTTAGATGCAACACTCTAAAAAAAATGGTAAACAAAATAGCAACGTTATAAAGAGATTATATAATACCAGTTAAAATGTTTAAATAATTATGATTTAAAAGTTTATTAAGCAAGTTTATTATTATTAAGCAAGTTTATTAATTATGATTTAATAGTTTATTAAGCAAGAAAAACGTTCTAATGTCGTGGCTTAACACCCGTACGTCAAGGTCCTTTTGAAATTTATCCTTACGTTGACGTTCTTCTTTTAAATTTTTTTTCTTAATTTATTACTTTAATACCTGTTTAATACATATAAAAAAAAGTTTAATTACCTTTTGCGCCGAGCAGTGTTTTGAAGTACATTTTCTAAATTTTTTCAGACATTTATTTTTATTAAAAGGAGTGGACTGTAAACATTCGTGAACTTTATTGTAACACTAAAAAAATAAAATTTTTTAATTCAAACTAAAAATAAAATTTGTCAAAAACTAAATTATAGTGAGGTAGTTTTATAGAACTCTTATGTTTACTCAAATTTAATGAAGAATCTGGCAGCTATAACATGAAGAATATATGGCGGCTATAACAAGAAGAATATATGGCGGCTAAAACATAATTATTTTAAGGAACAATTAATCTCCATTATGATTAAGCACATAAAATTTCAAATGTGTTGCAAATGATTATAAATGATTATTTGCTTGCTAATGATTTTTTTTCATACTCATTTGTAGTACACCAAACTATATTGTAGCACACAAAACATCACAAAAACTATAATGGTTATGTTTTTGTTTTTGATATGTTATACTTTATATTATATTTTTATATTTTCAGATCTTATATTTTTTTAAACATGAAAACTTACAACTCTTAGCATGTAATTAACTTGTTTTTTCATAGTTATTATCAAGTTATCATTATAGCTATTAATATATTTTATGTTTTACTATTTAATACCTGTTTTATTGGACTTTTTGTTTTTGTATAAGGAAGCAAAGTATGCTGATCTGTAGTTATAGAATTGTTTAATCTTCGTTCGTCATTATTTGCAACCACTTTTATTACAACTATAATTCATATATAAAATACTTATATATCAAACAATATTTAGAATATTCATAATTTATTTTTTAAATTCTATAGCTATAAGCCATAAAAATTTATCCAAATTCATTTTTTCTTTTACTTATTTCAAAATAAAACTAAAATATAAATACCTACAGAAGCTTGCAGGCTGCCGATAAAAATTAAAAAATAAAAAGTTATTACAGGTAGGTCCATTCTTGAGTTAACGTTTTTGTTTATGCTTATCGACGTAATTTAAAATGGATTTAAAACTAAAGCATCAAACACAATTTAAATACTTTAAAGTGTGTTTGTTTATCATCGATAGTCGTCGTTGGTTTATCGATAGGCAATGATAAGTTATCACGAAGTTCACGAAATTTTTAAAAATATTAAAAATATTATATTAACAACAACAAAAAAATAACTTTATTTAAAACAAGTTCTAAAAATTTAAATTATTATAAAAGTTTAAAAGGAAAAGAATTTTCGTAGAAAAGAAACACTTTTGAAAGAACTTGAAATCAAAAAAGTTATCGTTAAAATTAATATACAGCAAAAAAGGGCGGCTCATCGGCTTCAAATTTATTTTGTAGTTATTAGATTTGTAAAAACTAAAATAAAAACATTTAAATATTTAATATTTAAATATTGTTATTGTTTCCGTATCCTAAACAATTACCTAAATAATGTGAAAGAAAAATTCGTGTCCCTTTTTTTTTAATATTTTTTTTAAATTTTATATATTTAAATATAAATAAGTAAAAAAACTCAAAACCACTTCTGAGAGAAATGAAAGCCTTAAATGTATACGAACTCAATGTTTATAATATTTTATGTTTCATATTTAAATGTAAAAATCATTTATCTCCTGATGTATTTACAAACCTTTATAATTTAAAACCCATAAACAATTACAATCTTCGCAATGGAAAAAATATACAACAACCTTTCTGCCAAACTAAATTTGAACAACTAATTATTTCTTATCGCGGTCCTTATTTATGGAATAAAATAATTTTGCCAAATTTTGATTTGTCATTGAAATGGACTTTAACTTCTTTCAAACGAAAATTAAAAAACAAGAAAAAATCTTTTCAGCAGAAAATATTTTTTCTTGTTTTTAGTTTTTTTTCGCTTCACATATTTCATATAATTTATCCAGTATATTTATATTTTAAATGCACAGTTATATATAGTTTATGTTGATTTTTATTGCTTAATTTGATTTTATTGTTATTATTATTATATTTGATATTGTAAAGGGCTTCATGATAAGATCGTTGATCTTCTGGTAGTCCTGTCGATTATATTTGTAATAAAGCTACTCTGTAATTTTAATTTCTTTTATTGAAGGCAAATAAATTTACAAAAAATAAAAAATAATAAAAAAAATAAGTGATAGCTATTGAAATAAATGAGTGATATAATAAGTTATTTAAGGTTAAGCAATTTTAGGAAAAGTTATAACTAACCAAAATAAACCAATATTGGAACTACATTATTGTTTTGGCAACTACATTGTCGTTTAGTTAACGACATTGACATCAACAAAATGTAAATAAAACCAGAGGCCAACAAATATTTTTTCACTTAAGGAAACTGTAAAGAGATTTTTTTTTTTGGTGTAATTTAACAACAACAAGATTGTATTTTTTCTTTGCAATTGTTTAAGGAACATATACAGTTAGATTTTTCTAAACAACTACAAAATCTTGGTAAACCAAATAAGAAATTCACTTATGTCTATGAAAATACGCCTCTTAAATTATATAAAGTTTTTATAAATCTGCATCTTGAATACGCAGTCTCCGTTTTTCTTCAAATGGGATTCAAACTTGAGGTAATTTCAATTTAGCAAAGGACTCAAAAACTTAAATTACTTTGATGTAGTTAATAATCTATATTTTTCAAAACTTATTAACTCTTTATCGCTTTTAGATACCTTGTCGGAAAAAATATTCTCAACAAATATTTATAAAACTAGTTGTTATAGTGATGTGATAACGATGTAAAAACACGTCATTTTTCAAGAAAAATACGTCATTTTTCAAGAAACAGTCTTCGAGGTAAAAATTTTCAATTAAACACCGCTTACGTATCATAACATAAAGTTAACCAATCACATTAAACTTTTAAAAAATTATCTAATGATATTTTTTCAAAATATCATATGCAATTAAAGCATTGCAAATAAAAAATTGAAGTTTAGAAAATTTTGTTAACAATATTCAGAGTTAGTTTATTGTTATTTTTTTACTTTGTGCTTTTTGAACAACTAATATTAAATTTTTAGATTAGAATTAATGAATTTCTAGATATAAGAATCGATCTTTTTTTTCCGGATTAGAAAAAGGTATTTTATTACCTCTATATTTAAAATTTAACAATTTGTTTTTAAATCCAGCAAAAATATTACGACAAAAAATAAAATCTTGGAGAAATATTGTAAGTTCCTTGCTAAAAAACGCTCTTTAAAATAGTAACCTATATACTTAAACGGGGAAGCAAAAGAAAAGGTTCCAAAAATAGTAGAGTCTAAAACTTTGATATATATCTAGTATTGTGATAACTTTACATAGGTTGTGATTTTTGTTGTGATTACTTTATGTTCAAACAGTTGTTAAAAACTTGATAGTTCAAACAGTTGTTAAAAACCCAGTCAAATTTCAAGGGAGTAATCCACTTTGATTACAGCTTTCAATGGCCATTTTGACTTGCCGCTGGAATAATTTGTACTACCTAGACTGTACCACAATTTTTAACAATTTTTGGCTTTGTTCTTCCTCCAGCTAGTCTATTATACCTTTATAAGTATACATACATATTAGGGTTGCCAGATGGCATTATTAAACGCCACTTTAACATTATTTAGGATGATTTTAGGATAATCGCATTAGTGTGACTATGGCATTATTTTGGGATTTTCAAAAAGTTTAGACTAAAATTTTTAAAAGTTGTAAATAAATGCAAAAAATTATAAAAATAGATTTAAAACGTTTCATTCATTTTATATTCGCGTTGTTCTCACCATAAAAAAATGTATCATTGTACTGCCTTAATATTATGTACTCTAATATATTTTTTATGTTAGAAGAAATAACTTTAGAAGTTGTAGAAATCACATACATAAGGTAACTTTAAATTAAATATTGATATATATATATATATATATATATATATATACATATATATACAGTGGGTGCTCATATTATTAGAAACACGACCAAATTTTGTGAATAAAGTTCAAAATTAACAAAACATTTTAACAAATTAATTTTTTTTATTTTACAAATAGTATATATGTACCTTTTACTTTAATCTGGTAGTTTGGCAACATTGCATTTTATCTCATTATGAAGTTATAGGGTTTTTCCCGAATTTTGACAATTTTGGCAGTTATACCTGTGTTGTTGTCGAGTGAAGTGCTGTTTGTGTATTGCTCTCTTTTTAAAGTTTTCAAAGATTTTTTTATTGTTTTGTTATTGAGTTCTATTTATGTGTCTATTTTTTACAGTTAAACATGATTAAATCAATATTTTTACATATAATTTGACTTCTATAACGGTTTACTAGAATCACGCGTTTTTTTCAATATGGGAAAGGCAAAAGATGTTTCACCCTCAAAAAAAAGAGAAGTTGGAGCATTATTGAAGAATACTTCTTATTCTCAAAGGTGTATAGCATCAATGACAAAGGTTTCAGTGGCAACAGTCAACCGAATAAAAAAAAATCTGGACAAAAATGCTTATACTCCTCAACGAACAGGACATTGTGGTAGAAAACGGCTAACAACGCCAAGAGACGATAAAAAAATACGAGATATTTGCCTAGAAAATAGGAATAAGCCTAGGCGAAAACTAACCACTTTAATACAAGATGCTGGAATACCAGCATCTCCAATGACAGTTCGTCGCCGACTCAAAGAACAAGGATTTCGATGCTGTCGACCTGCATCCTCTAAGTATAATGGTATGGTCTGTCATTAGTGGACATGGAACAGGACGCTTATATATCGTTGAGGGAAATATGCGCCAGGACCAATACATAAAAGTTCTTGACACAAGATTGGTACCACAGTTGAAGGAATGGTTCCCAAAGAACCAAAAATTTACATTTATGCATGATTCTGCCTCATGCCATAAAGCAAAGAAGGTTAGAGAGTACCTATAAAAAATAGTCTGCAACCTTTTTATTTCTATAATAAATAACCTTTAACACATAATTTTCAAAAAAAAGACAGTGTTTCTAATAATATGAGCACCCACTGTATATATATATATATATATATATATATATATATATATATATATATATATATATATATATATATATATATATATATATATATATTTGGAATGAGAAAAAGAATACCCATGGCTTAAAAAAAGCTCTGAGTAGACTATATTTGCGTTCTGCACACTTTACCAATTAACTATTCAACCTTGTAAGTCATCTTTAGAGCAACACAACAATTTTTTTGATTTGGGTATGCTAATTCAAAACATTTGAAACCCAAATCGCGTTTGTACCTATTTTAAAGAACCCTGCCATGAAAGCTGACATTTATATTGCACTTTTTGTTTGTTGCCACTAAACAATTTTTATGATTATCTAGGAGAAATTATGAATCAGTGTGGTAAGCCAAGCTCTCTTGAAAATCTTCGACTTTATTGCACAAAGTGCACTGCGATCTTAAAACATTTTTTTTCATGATTGTTCGAAGCTAAGATTGTTGAAACAATGAAAAGCAAACCTCAGTTTTAATTGATGAATCCAACAATATTACTTCAGCAAAGCGCTTGTTGTGCTTGTTACAACTCAGATCAACAAAAAACATGTATGCATTTGTGCTTGTTACAACTCAGATCAACAAAAAACCATCTCAGAAAAACCTCTGGAGATGCAGCTTGAGTTGGTTGATGATTGGCAATGATGATTTTACTTGGATTTCTGATATGGATCAAATGAAAATAGAAACAATAAACACTTTGTAAAAAGTCATATTTTTTTCCCAACTAAACCTACCCGTTTTTTTTACTAGGTTTTTTAGTATAATTGATTGAACCGTAAAAAAGTGATGGTTTGGAATATCAAACCGTGTGACCATGAATTGCAGTGCTGGAGGGCCAAAAAATTATTAAAATATATTTTAACAAATTTGTTTAAAAAGTTTTGGAAAAAGAGACAAGCTGTAATATTTCTTAGATATAAAGACTGTACTATTTCTTAGATCCAAGAAAAAAAAGTTTTAAAGAATTTTTACTTTTGAAACACACGGCTTATAGAAATTCTAAATAATTTCTATAGAATTCGTATAGAATATCTATTAATTTCTATAGAAATTCTATAAAAAACACTTCTTTTTATAGAAACAAAAGTTAAAAAAAAAGTTCTATAAAAATTTCTATAGAAACTAACAGAGATTCTACAGAAATTCTATAGAACTTCTATATGCTATATGTTTCAAAAGTTTATAGAAATTCTTTTTTTCCTGGGATTTTAATAACATCCTTTTTACCTGTCAAATAGACAGCAATACATTAATTAATTCATAATTGTAGAAAAGCTAACGTGCCCCCCTCACTTTTGTAAAGGACTTTATTTTTTTTTCTTTAGAAAATTCTAGATTAGGGTGGAGCAATTTTCATAGCAAAAAAAAAAAGTTTAAAAATCAATATTCCTGAGACACGAATCGATGTCTAATAATTGTAAGATGAAAGTAAAAAAATATTTTTTGGTTTTTATAAGATCTTGAGGTTCCTCTTTGGATTCTAAATCCTTGACGGATTCTAATATTTTTGAATTTTTTTTTTTTTTCTAAACTATATCAACCTTGGACTCAAAAAAAGCAGAAAAAAATGCTTGTTTTATCAATAATAATTTTATGAAAAAAAATTTTTAGTGAAAAAAATATTTGCAAAAATATACCTTAAAACCCCCGTTTTGATGAAGACGGGGGTTTTTCAATGAAAAGAACGACATTATTTTTTTTTCTTTAGTTTTAAATTAAAACAAATATTATATTCAAAATAAACGTATTGTTCTGCTTCTTTTGAGTACCAGGTTAATATAGTTTAGAAGAAAAAAAATTTCAACAATATTAGGATCCGTCATAAATTTAGAATCCAAAGAGGAACCTCTAAAACTCACTTATATTAAAAAAAAAAGTAAGGTTCTTTTTTCACCAAAAGACATCGATTCGCAACTCAGGCTAATCAAATTTCGAAAATTTTTAAAATCGCTCCACCCTATTCTAGATATAGAAGACTTTTTTTTTTAAATTCACGATTGTGCCCCCCCCCCCCCCCCACTTCGAAACTTCTGTTGTTGGCCCTGAAATAGTACTTTGTAATTTTTTATATCTATTAATGTCTTTGTTTGATATGTGTTGTTATTCTTTTTATTTTTGATTCTTTTGCTTTGTGTTTCTGAAGTATTACGCGCTTCTAGATATTTTTTAATAATTGATATATCATTATTTTAGCTCTTTTACATTTGTTAATTTTAAATAGTTAATGGAATTTCTCAGTATTAAATTAAATTTTATATTTATAGATAAGACATATTAGCCTTCTTGCTACCTATATATCTTGTTAGTAACTTACAGAATTTATATATTTAAATAGCAAAAAAAAAAAAAAAAAAAGCCTTCTGCGTACCCCCAGCGTAACAAAATCTAATGTGATAACATGATTCCATAAAAATTTAAAATAAATTATGAAAATATAGCTTTCATAATTTGGCATTTTTTAAATGACTTTTTGTTTAAAAGAATTAAACTACTATATTAGCTTGCACGATTGAACACGCTAATATTTTTACGTATTGTAAGAAATTCTTTTTTCAAAGATTAAATAAACTGACGCCATTAATAGAAACAAAATAAATGCCTTAGTATACATATATATATATATATATATATATATATATATATATATATATATATATATATATATATATATATATATATATATATATATATATATATATATATATATATATATATATATATATATATATATATATATATATATATATATATATATATATATATATATATATATATATATATATATATATATATATTAGTATAAATGTAACATGCATAAGTACAAAAATTTAAAAATTGTACTTATTTATGCACTTACTTACTTCAAACAAATAAAAAATTCAAACAAGTAAAGTGTTTTATTTTTTCTAAAAATATTTAAAAATATTGAAAAATACACAATTAAAGGCCAGGTCGTATTTACAACTATTTAATTTAATTACAAATAAAATATTACTATAGTTATCATAAATATTATTATTAGCATCCTTTCTTTTTTATACATGTTTTAAGCGTTCTGATACATTTAAGCACTTTCTGCAGAGTTTCGACTTCCATTGTACATTTTCGTGCATCAATAAAACACTAAAATACAAGTGAGAATATAAACAGTATTGGGAGGCGGCGGTGATAATAAAAAAATTAATTTACGAACTCCCCGTGAACTTAACTTTTTTTTTTTTAAAAGTTTAAAAATTATAGTAACGTGACCTCATCCTCCTTTATAAAACAAAATGTTTTCGCCCTAATAATGTAACTGCATTTTTTAACGTGATTTTTAGTAAAACAAACGTTCGTTAAACGAACGTACAAGAACAAACAACAACAAACAAACTCTTAAGCTAATTGTTTTAAAATCAAATTATCTGATCACGTGAACACTTGTCGTAGAAGTAAAGAAGTGACATTTGAAAGTTGTGTTTGTTAATACTTAACAGCAACACTTTACTAAAACGGTAAACAAAATGGCAACGTTATAATGAGATTATAAAACATTAACTTAAAATGTTTAGTTGATTAAACATGAGAAAATGTTCTTATGTCGTGGCGTAACGTACCGTGGTCTTTTTCAAATTTATCTTTACATTGACGCTTTTCTTTTAAATACTTATCAAATTTTTCTAATTACTTAAAAGCCATTTAATTAAATAATTTATTTTTAATTACCTCTTTAGCCGAGCAGTGTTTTGAAGAACATTTTCTAAATTTTTTCAGACATTTATTTTTTTTAAATGGACTTGATTGCAAACAGTTGTATATATCATTGTAGCACTAAAAAAAAAATTATACTGTATTTTATATTTTTAAATTTAGCATGTTATCACCTTGTAATTAATTATATACTAATTTATAGTTCTTAATAATCTAATTACCTGTTTCATTGGAACTTTTATTTTTGTATAAGGGAGAAAAGTATGCAGATCTGTAGTTATTGAATTGTTTAATCTTTGTTCATCATCATTTTGAATTGGAATCTGTTCTACTATAACTAAATTTATAACATAGTTTATATTCTACAACTATGAAACAATAAAATTTAAAGTATTTGGCATTTTTACTTGTTGTTATCACCATCTAAGATTACCACCACGAACAGAAAACAATAATTACTAACCTATTGAAGCATGAAGACTATCGATAAAAGCGTGGAGGCTAACGATAAAAAAGAAAAAGTAAATAGTCTTTGCAGGTAGCTCCATTTTCAGTTTACGTTTTTGTCTATGCTTATCGACGTATTTTAAAATGGGTTTGAAACTAACGCATCAAACGCAATATAAATACTTTTAAGTGTATTTGCTTATCAACGATAATCGTCGTTTGCTTATCGATAAGCAATGATAAATTATCACTAAATTAACAAATTTTTAGAATTTTTAGTTTTTAGTTCAAAAAAAACAAAACAAAACAAAAAATTAATTTAAAATTAGTTTTAAAAATTAAAAATTTTACAAAGAATATTTACGAAAAACTTTTTTGGCAAAAAGTAAAAAAAAAAAAAAAAAAAAAAAAAATTTTTTTACATAATAATGCATTATTAAGAATTTCTTAACTATTTTTGTTTATACGACATAAAGTATTACATTGGAGCTCCATACGCAATTTTCTTCATTTACGGTTCTCTCAGACTCACGGTTTCCTTTTTGAATCGACTGGTTTTGTTACTTAAGTATCCTTTAAACCATTGTAAATTTTGGTTTTTAAGTGTACGGAGCTTCTTAAGTGTCTCTGTACTTACTGTATCAAAAATTTGTGTTTAAATTAAAAAAAAAATTTATAACAATTAGAATTAAGTGAATTTGTTATGTTTTGTTATTTTTAGGTACCTCAAGAAGACCTAACGGTTTTGTCACAGAGCACCGCGGAAGTGCATTTAACCAGGAAGTTCACGCCTCCTTCCTTACCGTGACGCGAAAATATGACCAGTGCTTGTTTTGAACCCGGATCTCCTGCTTATAAAGCAAGCGCTCGCCACGGACGCACACATGTAATGTGTTTATAATATCAAAGATATTATAATACTCAATATATCAAAGTATAGCCAAATCCTTTATTTCGTGTTTTCAGTTATATGTTTATGAAGTCTGTTACATGAAAAATTTAGTAATTTGAATTAGTTTTGAAAAGCAGGAAAAAACTAAAATCTGTAGTCTGAAATATTAGTGTCATCGACGGATGTAAAAATAGTAGTGATTAAAAATATGAAATATTGAAGGCTCAATAATGTAAAAACAGATGATGTATGCTTTGCAGCTGTTGTCTTTTCCAGTGCACACGGACGTAATAAAGACGTCTTTTAAACGTCTTATACACGTTTTGGACGTCTTTTGAACGTCTTTGAACGTCTTTTGAGCGTTTTAGATGTCTTTTGAACGTTTATAAGACGTCTTTTTTAGGTACGGTGCCCACTGGGTTTATTCTTTTGTATTTCAACATTAAACGGTTGTAACGAATGCAAAAGAGAGTTAAACGAATATGTAAAAGTGTATTCAAATAAATAAAAAATTACCCGAAAACATTAAAAATTTAGTGTTTTCGTGTTTTTTGTATTATTGAACTTAATTAATTCATTATAGAAAGGTTTAAAAAGTCCAAATATTGAGTGATTAAGTTTTTAGTAAATTATTTAGACAATAGGGAATCTTTTTGCAAACAACTTCATTTTTGTTTACTATAATGTGACAATTTTCTCAAAGTTTTTTAAATAGATTTTTTTGGAAAGTTACACAAAATTGTGTTTTAGAAGCAACTAAAATATTATCAAAACCCACAAAAAGTTTACTTAAAGTAAAAACCATATAAAAATTTATTTTCAATTTTTTTTGTACTTTTTATTTCTTTTTAATAATTACTAATATTTACATTATATTATGGTGCAAAGTTTAACATGTCTTTTAATTGTAAAAATTATTCGAAAAAATTCTTTGAATATCAAATAGTCAAAAAAGCATATAAAGATCTAGTATTTAAATATTCAAACTGTTTTAATATTTTTGAGAATATACAGCAGATTCTTCTGAAGATGGTACAGCAGATTTTACTGAAGATGGTACAACAGATTCTACTGAAGATGGTACAGCTACTAATAAGAAGCTCATGCAATTTAATGGACATTGCTGATCAGCTTTGCTTTTATCGCGGAATTTATTTTAGTATATGCAACACGTTATAAAAGTAAAACAAATTCACAAACGTACCAATTACTGAGGAAACCGAGAGTGATTCAGAAGAGAATAAACATAAAATTTATATAAATAAAATCAGCTTTGAATCAGAAAAAGGTGAGGTTAATGTGGAATACACTGAAATTTTTAAAAATAGATAAAAATTAGTGAAATTTATATGAATTTCATCAGTTCGAAATCAGATTTTTCAAAAGAAAGTTACTGACGAATTCGAAATCAAACTGCATCAAAACTATTTGTAGAATACACTGACATAAATTATATAATATTTTTTGCTTAATTAAAGGTTTATTAGAGAGCGTGTGGAAAAAGAGATATGCAAACCATAAGCAAATGTTTAAAAATAAAAAACCTATAAATGCAACCACTCTCTCAAAATAACAAAAATTTTTCCGTATAGTTTTTTATATATCGTTTGCGTAACAAGTTCCAATTGTAATCTTTTTAACGAAAAAACTATACTTGTATTTCATCTGATGATTGCAATAGCATAAAACTTAAAGTTGTGAAAATTACGTAGTTTAATTTTCTACAATACTAGAGCTCTGACTCAGTGCATCGAGCACTTTCTTGATAGTATATGCACTTCAAAATAGCATCACTACAAACATGTATACAGATATACACACACACACACACACATATATATATATATATATATATATATATATATATATATATATATATATATATATACATATATATATATATATATACATATATATATATATATACATATATATATATACATATATATGTATATATATATATATATATATATATATATATATATATATATATATATATATATATATATACATATATATATATATATATATATATATATATATATATATATATATATATATATATATATATATATATAAATTTTTCAATTAATAGCAGAAGGTAAACTTAGATAACTGATAATACATACTGTATATATATGTAATATTATAATATAACTTGTGACAACAGGGGTTTTGAATAGGGGTTGTGAATGTGAATATAGGGGTTTTGTTACTTTTGTTAAAACTCCAATATTCGCATTCACAATTGTTTTTATATTATTAAAACAATGTTAACATTTGAAAAAACTAAGCATTTAGCTAGTTCCTGGAAGTGCATAACATATATACTATATATATATATATATATATATATATATATATATATATATATATATATATATATATATATATATATATATATATATATATATATATATATATATATATATATATATATATATATATATATATATATATATATAAATTTTTCAATTAATAGCAGAAGGTAAACTTAGATAACTGATAATACATACTGTATATATATGTAATATTATAATATAACTTGTGACAACAGGGGTTTTGAATAGGGGTTGTGAATGTGAATATAGGGGTTTTGTTACTTTTGTTAAAACTCCAATATTCGCATTCACAATTGTTTTTGTATTATTAAAACAATGTTAACATTTGAAAAAACTAAGCATTTAGCTAGTTCCTGGAAGTGCATAACATATATACTATATATATATATATATATATATATATATATATATATATATATATATATATATATATATATATATATATATATATATATATATATATATATATATATATATATATATATATATATATAAATTTTTCAATTAATAGCAGAAGGTAAACTTAGATAACTGATAATACATACTGTATATATATGTAATATTATAATATAACTTGTGACAACAGGGGTTTTGAATAGGGGTTGTGAATGTGAATATAGGGGTTTTGTTACTTTTGTTAAAACTCCAATATTCGCATTCACAATTGTTTTTATATTATTAAAACAATGTTAACATTTGAAAAAACTAAGCATTTAGCTAGTTCCTGGAAGTGCATAACATATATACTATATATATATATATATATATATATATATATATATATATATATATATATATATATATATATATATATATATATATATATATATATATATATATATATATATATATATAAATTTTTCAATTAATAGCAGAAGGTAAACTTAGATAACTGATAATACATACTGTATATATATGTAATATTATAATATAACTTGTGACAACAGGGGTTTTGAATAGGGGTTGTGAATGTGAATATAGGGGTTTTGTTACTTTTGTTAAAACTCCAATATTCGCATTCACAATTGTTTTTATATTATTAAAACAATGTTAACATTTGAAAAAACTAAGCATTTAGCTAGTTCCTGGAAGTGCATAACATATATACTATATATATATATATATATATATATATATATATATATATATATATATATATATATATATATATATATATATATATATATATATATATATATATATATATATATATATATATATATAAATTTTTCAATTAATAGCAGAAGGTAAACTTAGATAACTGATAATACATACTGTATATATATGTAATATTATAATATAACTTGTGACAACAGGGGTTTTGAATAGGGGTTGTGAATGTGAATATAGGGGTTTTGTTACTTTTGTTAAAACTCCAATATTCGCATTCACAATTGTTTTTATATTATTAAAACAATGTTAACATTTGAAAAAACTAAGCATTTAGCTAGTTCCTGGAAGTGCATAACATATATACTATATATATATATATATATATATATATATATATATATATATATATATATATATATATATATATATATATATATATATATATATATATATATATATATATATATATATATATATATAAATTTTTCAATTAATAGCAGAAGGTAAACTTAGATAACTGATAATACATACTGTATATATATGTAATATTATAATATAACTTGTGACAACAGGGGTTTTGAATAGGGGTTGTGAATGTGAATATAGGGGTTTTGTTACTTTTGTTAAAACTCCAATATTCGCATTCACAATTGTTTTTATATTATTAAAACAATGTTAACATTTGAAAAAACTAAGCATTTAGCTAGTTCCTGGAAGTGCATAACATATATACTATATATATATATATATATATATATATATATATATATATATATATATATATATATATTATATATATATATATATATATATATATATATATA